AATTTACTTGCTAGACTCTATAATAAATATTCAGCAGCCAATCACCAAAAGAATTGCACATCCTACTTTTAAGAGGTCATCAATGCATACAAATTAAAAATACAAATTTACGTAGGATTTGCTTTACCTTCTTATAACTCCAAAGACACGGAATTCATCTTCTAGTTCTCTTTCAGTGACCCTAGGATCAAGATTTCCAACGTACACTCTTGACATCTCGGAATAATAACCTATAAAGGAATACACACTTTGGTCAGACATATATAAAAGAAGTTAAGAATTCACAAGGTAATAATAAGAAATTCAATGGTACTGTGTCTGAAATATGCCAAAATCATCAGAAACAGAGTTATTTCAGCTCTGTTTTCTTGGTAGCACTATAGTATACTTAAATTATAAAGAATTTATGTTGTATACACAGATGATTGCAATATCTGCAAACAATCTGTCTATCCTATTTCACTAAAAACACTAATCTACAATTGTATGAAAGTGTGTAAAAATTAAGATTTGCTACAAGTGATTAAGAACCATCACAAATTATTCTCTGTGGCGAATACCACGCAGTCTGGAATACTATTTTTCTACGTATAAGATATATACATTTATGTTTTAAATTATATTAAAAAGGTGAGGCTACCTATTAAAACTGCTTTCACTATGCAACCACAGCATACTCAGTGTAAGCAACCTCACACCTTACTTCTGAACGCAGAGAGGTTGTTTCGGACAGACATTCAGATCGACTAAATTATATACTTCACACATGTGAACAGGAAAAAAATCTCATGCTAAAAATAAAGAAGAAGAAAACAGTAGCAGCAACAAATAGTAACTAATGAGTTCAACAACACACTGTATACATATGCACGAACCATCAAAAAAATGATATTTTTCAAAAAAAATTCCCAAACAAGCTGAAAATTCAGATAGTTAACTAATTGAGCTACTAAAACTCAGCGTAAGATGTTCGAATTCAATAAAACGATTAATTTATTCAATTCAATGAAATTTTAAACAAAATTAGGATTGGTGGAACCGCAAAATTCAATTTATCAAACTAAAACAAGTCACAAATTGAACATTAAACATCAGGTCAAACATAAACAGATCTATACAAGGGAAAAATTGAAGCAGACGGCAAACCTGAAACCCTAGTGAAGAACGCGAGAGAGTAAAACCCTAGGCCACCACTATGAAAAGGGGAATTGTTAAGAGATATGAATAACTGGATTTGAACTGGGCTTGAAAATTGTACTCATTGGGTTAGGCCCAATAGAGCTGATACAAATTTTGGGCCTAGGCCTGTTTAGTTCCGAGGCTGATTAAACGATTATGATTTCGAAATTTAAACAAACCTTTTTTCTTATGATAATTTTTTCACATCTCGTTTAAATATTATGACTTATTGTACTTGTTGCATAATTTTAAAATATGTAAATTTTATTTTCAAAATTTAAAATATATATATATATATATTTGAATAAGCGGTCAAACTAGAACGATTTGATTCTCAAATTTCGATCTGTGTCACTTAAATTAAGATTAAAAAATATATAATATTTCTAGCTATTTTTGGAATATAATTGGAAAATTTTGCTTTTATTATTTTTTTATTCCAATTTTTTTAAAGGAATATTGAAATAGTACTTTCCTCCTTTTTCCAAAGTTATCAATTTATTATAGGAACTTTCAATTATGTCAGATTGTGTGTATATATAATAGGAGTTTTGTATGTTTATATAATTCATCTCTTTAATTCATAGTAAGGGTTGGAGGGGAAGGATATTTATTCGAATTGAATAGTTAAAAATCAATATTACTCTTATTTTTCTTGTTTTAAAAGTAGTTTTCTAGCTCGTTTTAAAGTGCTAGAAAGAAAAATAAAATATTTTTAAAAATAATTAATGAGAAAGCATTTATTTATTTAACATCGCGAACAATAACACTTCTCTTTCTAATAAAAAAAATAGGAAGGAGATCACTAACCTTCTCCCATGCAGCTCATGAAAATACCCATTATATTTTTCCAATATGAACAAGCAAAAAATTCTCAAGTATATATAAGGTTTAAGAGAAAGAAATACAAGTGATAAGAGAATTGAGTTACCGTCAAACGATCTGGTGCAGTGAATAAAATTTTTTATTTGATCAGAAGTCTTAAGTTCGAATTCTTAATATTAAAAAAATCTTTGATAGAAAATGCTTCCCCTTGAATGGAGTCGTATGCAAAATAAATTTAAATTAATCAAATTTTAATACAGATATCAAACACCAGATATGAATAAAATAAAAAAAGAATTAGGGAATTGAATTGAATTTGATTCTATGTTGTTTAATTGTGATGGCTACTGCAACCTAGAATTTTTCAGTGAGCATCTAATTCCTAACTTTCACCAATCTTTAGCTTCGATAGGAATCTACATTACTTTAGGTTCAAATATAATATTATTGTTCAGTGGTGAAATTAAAATTTTCGTTAAGATATTCAATATTTAATATTTTTTTATAAATAAACAAAAATATACAAAAAGATTGCCATAGACTTTTTAAAAATTATATCATATCAATAATTTTTATTATTCTCTTTTATACGAGCGAAATTAGATTTTTTAAGCCATCCAAATCATTTATATTCTTATATCTCTATATCTTATCCAATTATTAAATCTTATACTCCAGGTAAATGGAAGATTTTTCATAAAGTATTTTTTATTGAAATATTTCTTGATCTAAAATGTTATATTAATTTTTGTTCTAAGATTCAATTTTTTATTGATTTTTTTTTAGAATGCAACCACACCTCTTTCAAGAATGTCATGTTTAGTACATTAAAATTCCTCCATTTAAGTTTATGTCGTGTTAGAACAATTTTTTAGTCTAAATACATATATCAAGATATTTTTTTCTAAGGTAATATATATGACACGCAAATAATAATAATAATAATAATAATAATAATAATAATAATAATAATAATAATAATAATAATGAAAATGGGAATAACTTTTACTTGAATTCATTTTTTACAATTAAGTAAAAGTGTATATCATTATATATAGGACAAAATATTTAAATCATGTTTTCACATATAATAATAGATATATTTTTTAAATGGTAGAAGTAAGCATAATCACAAAAAAGGAAATTAAATGAGATCAAACTTGGTAGCTATTTATGTAAAAATAAAACTGGCTTAATATATAGTCAGCTATTTTAACTTGTCGAGATATTTTATTTAAATACTCCAATGAAGTTATATTTCAACTGAACACCTCAACATCTAATAATAACACGTCCTACACTCCTTCTTAAACGTTTTCTATTCAAAATTTGAAAAAAGTATGTGTTTTCATTTATCTCCATGATAGTTAAGTTAATATTATTTTCTTTTATTAGAAAATACATGGGGTTTTACGAGTTTTATTGATATAGATGCTTATAATTGAAGAAAAATGTCATATTCTATCTGATTAATTTAAATATTGTCTAATAAATGAATAAGATCAATGCATACAAATATTTTTCCAAAATTTGAACGGAAAGCGTTTAATCGAGACTTAAGATATTTCATTAAATTAAGATTTAGTTCAAACATACAAACAAAAAATATTTCGACTTCAATACAGAAAACATTCCGCGTTAACAAAACTCGAGACATTTTGAGGGTAGGCAAGCACACGTGATTACAAGTTACAAGCCCTAGTCAATTTTGTTGGCTGCTTGCTCCAGAATCGCACCCGTGATTCCTCCATAGACGACAGTGACTCATTTTGTCCGAGTTATAAAGTAATATTCGTTTCAATTTATATAATATTTGTTATTTAATTAAAAATATCATAGAAAAGGGATTAAAATTACAAACTAGTTAAGATTAATCAAATTCATTTCTCTCTTTGCTAAAAGACCAATATCGTTGGTTGATACAAGAATATAACGCAGGGCGGATCCATCATACGTCAAGGAATGTTATTTCACTTGATTTTATATGTTTATACTATATAATCTGAAAAAAAATATAAATTAAAAATAAGATAAATGAGCTTTCTTGGCTCGTTAGTTTGACATTTGAGGATAAAATATTTTGGAAAGACATTCGAAAAATTATGTGTGATTGACAAACTCTGATGATGATGATGATAATAATAATAATAATAATAATATTGTATTTTAAATGAGCATAAACCCTCTCCAAGTTTAAACTAATTAAACATTATTAGCTTATTAAATAACCATTTAACTACAAAAAATAAAAATAAAAAATTGAATGATTTGTACATCAAACTAGCCTAATATTAAATTAGAATTAGACTTTATAATAAGCATTTAATTCAGTTGACTTCCTTTAGAAGTGTTCAACTTTGAATTAGGTGGATTTAATCAAAATTACAACTTTTAAATCATTTTTAGTTTAGTTAGTACGAAAAGCAAGTGTTGAGTGCAATATTTTACTATTCTTATAGTTGTACTAACAAGAAATGGAGGCCTTATATCTCTCGCAACTCGATACACAAAGCATTTTGTGTTAACACTATTTATAAAAAGTTCGTTTTGTTTCGTTCTAACGAGTGCGATAATGTTTGGGTTTAACTTTTTCTAGTCGTCTAGATACATTATACACTATTATATGCATATTATACCTGATTATACATATTATACATTTATCAATTATGTTCGTTTAAGCAGTTAAACGAGTAATACTTAGTTTCTTCAAAAATAAAATTGGAATATTACTTGAACCTTTACAATAACAAGAGAGGATTACTCAAATGATAAAGCTCTTCATCTCCGATTTTAAAATTAGAAGACAGAATCTTCAAAGAAACAAAACAAAAAAGAGTGAAAACTCTAAGAACGGAAAAAAAAAAGTCTTGCCAATATTCATTACACTAATAACATCGCTTGATAAGAGAGTTATTAACTCCCCATATCCAACTTAAAGGATTGCGAATTCGATCGTTCGAATCACCGAGAGAACAAAAAATGAAAAGTTCCCAAGAAACAATTCAAAACACAATAACATAACTTGATTAGATACCACATAATTACATGAATTACATAATACCAATAGATAAAAAAAAACAAATAAAATTTCACTTAATGTGCTGAACTCACTTGATCATCAAACTTCTTCAAATTTCCTTTAGAATTTTTCTCAAATCTCTTAATTCTAAAATGCATCAACTCCACTTCTTTTGTTTCTCCGTCTATAACAAGATCACTCAATATTTTCCCCACAATTGGTCCCATTTTAAACCCATGCCCAGAAAATCCACCACCAACCACCACATCCTCACCAAACTCACCACCAAGAAAATCAATCACAAAATCCTCATCCGGCGTCACTGAGTACATACACGACTGCGTCAGGACCGGCCTCGTTGAATCAACGAGGCCTCTGAACCTCTCCTGGATCCACTCAGAGAGTGGATCCAGGCTTTGTGTGGGCGCCCACGTCCTGTCAGTAGGTTCACAGGGGCGCCCACCATGTACCGGGATCTTAATCAGTCCTGGATACTCGAGTGACGGTGTGCCGTACACGTACGGCTCACCGTAACTCGCGAAAGTTGGAAAGCCATTTCCAATAGTGAATTTTGACTCGTACCCTTTTTTAATCTTCCAATAAAATACAGTTGTCTCCAATGGTTGAATTGGAATAACAACACCTGATATATTTCTAACTAATTTATTCATCCATGAACCAACTGTAACAACACATTTTTTCCCGCTAAATTTTTCTCCATTTTTCGCCATAACCAAAACATCCCCTGTTTTGCCATCCTTTTTGATTTCAACGACTTCGATCTTATCTCTCAAGATACCTCCATTGATAATTGCGAGTGTTTGAAACATCGAAACTGCTTTCGTTGGTTTGATAACACCACCATGCTCTGTAACAACACCAATCCAATCATGGGGTAATTGAATCAAGTTATCGAACTCTAGAGACATCGCGTTACGATCAATAACGCGAACAGGGATAGAGTTTTTGTCGCAGCTAGAGATGACAGACTGAATTGCTTTGTCGTTAGAAGGTCCGATATCGAGTTGTGAGGTTTTGAAATACACTCTGTATCCGATTTGTTGTTCAGCTTCTCTCCAGAGGGTTTCGGATTTCAACACCATTTTCGGGTAGTAGTCTTCGGGGTACGTGGCTCGTATGGTTCTTGATTCGCCGTGGGAAGAACCGAGATGGTGTAAGAAATCGAATTGTTCGAGAAGTAGTGTCTTTTGATTACGTTTTGATGCTTCATAAGCTGTACAGCTACCCATTATACCAGCTCCAATGACGATTACGTCGAATTTTTCGAGTGGTTTCTCCATTTTTTTTCTCTTTTTTGTTTGTGTTTGCTCTGTTTTTTGTGTTGGAGATGAAACAGGGGAGATAAGCATTTGGAGAGAATGGCTATGTTTTTAAAGGATTGAATTCCATGTGTATATAACATAGTACTCTGTCCTGATTTTTTTTTTATCATATTTGAGTTTTATTTTTTCGGGAAAAAAAATTAAAGCATTATAATAGTTGTTTTTATTTTTTTGAAAAGAAAAAGAAATAATTAAACGTCTTCTATATTTGGTTATTCTTTTTTCATAGAAAAGATTTGGAGATTTATATTCTTGTAAGCATAACACAATAGAATCTACGATATAGTACTTTTATTTATGGAGAGATTTTCTTTTTATGTTTTTTTATTAGTTTTTAAATATATAGGACGATTGGCCGTATTATATAATAATATATGTGTTTTTAAGTATAGTTTTATGTGTCGTATAATTTATCGTCATATGATTTGTAAATTATAAGTTTCTGCATGACGCCATAGTTCTTTCGAATCCAAAACACTTTATGCCTAGATACACTAGTATGTTGAAAAAAAATATGATGGAGCGATAAGTATATATCCATTCTTAATCAAAGATTTTGAGTCTTAAATATGAAGTCATCTTTGATTGCGAAGAGTTCATTTTCATAAGCATAACACAGTAGAATCTACGATTTAGTCTTATAGAGATTTTTTCTTAGGTAGAGATTTTCTCTCTATAGGTTTTTATGTTTTTTTTTTTAAAAAAAATATGTAGGTGAATTGATCATATCATATAATAATATACGTTTTTTTTAGTACATTTTAATGTGTCGTTTAATTTATCTTCATATGATTTGCAAATTATAAACTTGCCCATGACCCCATGATTCTTTCAAATCTGAAACACTTTATGCCAAGATACAGTAATATGTTGAAAAAGTATGTGATGGAGCGGTAAGTATCTATCCATTCATAATAAAACGCTTTATGCCAAGATACACTAATATGAAGTCATCTTAAATATTAGTATTAGCTCATACTCAAAACTCGATACAAATCCTAATCGTTAAGCTCTAGCTTGAATAAAGGATAATCTTGCCTAATAATAACAAACTAAATAAATAAAGATAATCTCGTTATATAAAATATTTGACAACACATTCCATATGCACTAAGAAGTTAATTTAAGGATGACCACTAATCCTTTAATTAAGAAAAGTCTAAGACTTTATAATGTATATAACATAATATAAGTGATATCATAATAGGATATTTTGGATGATATTATGATAATGATGAATATATGCTATCAACATTTATTCGACGTTTGAAATCAATAAAAGACGATCTTTTTACGATCATAGGATAAATTACCCTCTAACAACTACTTTCAATGAAATTGTCAGTATATATATATATATATATATATCATAGTCAAGCATACGTGGCAACAACAATTGAAATCTTTTAATAAGAAAAGATTCCGTCAAATTAATGTTCAAAAATATGTTGATATTTTTGTCATTATCCTCTTTGACAGGACAACATATGAAACAAAGAATTTCCTGTCATTCACATGAATCACGAGTACTCGTTTGTTCCTTTTCAAGTTAGTTACTAACAGTATTCTACAATCGATGTTTGATATTTACTTTGAGATTTGATTAATTTAAATTCGTAGCAAGTAATCTAGTTAATACAACTTCATTTTCGATTACTTTTTGGGGTTTGCTATATGCTAATGATACAAAGATTAGTAATATAAGAATTTTAATTCATGAATATAGAAATTTGTCATTTAGTTATCTTAATCCACGCAATACTAATTTTCATGTATGTATTTCACATTTTATTCCACGTAAAATAATATTAAAAAAACTCTACGAATATTAGTTACGAGAATCTTTGTTATTGGAACCAACTATTTGTAATTTGTATTATATTTATATCGAACATGAAAAAATTGAAAAATATTCTATAACTGATCAATCCCTTTCAAAGACTTGCCGCTATATTAACGACTTGACGTATACGTAAAAGAAAAAAAATTCCCAGCCCCATATCACCATAAGTACGTTGAAGATAAATGAAATCATTTTTCTATCCATAATTAAATTGAACTTCATCGATGTCATTATGTTAAAATATCTACATTTACATGCCATTTATTTGTGCATATTATTATAGTGGCGTCTTTTTCTTGATAAATTATCAACTACATATGCTTCAAGTCCGCATGACTACCTCCACAAGATAGTAATAAGATCCGCATATATTCTCCAGACCCCACTTACGAAATTTCGCGAGGTATGTGCATTGAATTTTGAAGTAAGTTTTGAATCTGTAGAATTTCTGCCTATGTTAAACAACTAAACAGAATGATCATATTCACATGATCATTTCAATACATAAAAATTATTACCACAAGAAAAAAAAGAAAGTAAATCAACCATAATTTCACATTTATATGTGTATGTGGATACACATAAACCCCAAAATTAATAGACAAAAAAGCAATGTGGTAGTACAAGAAACACCTACACATTTCTTATTGAAAATCTATAACAAATGGCTACTATTAAAAAATGTACACATCTTTTGACTGTGATCTTCACTAAACTAATTTCCCATCAATGTGCCCAGTTCCCTACTGCTATGAAGTATCATATTTGGATTACAGTACTATGGATTTTGCCTATATATGAGTATGCAACCAAGAACGCGATTCACAAAAAAAACAGAACAAATCACGAATTGCTTGGTCGAGCAAAATAATGAAGTGATCAATCACAATCGAGTCAAAACTAACTTGGATGATTTACAGAAGATTGTGAAGACAGCCATGAACTATATCTTGCCCGTGACTCCACAAGTAATCACAGTGAGAAAATCAGACAACGGACCTGCAGAATATGGAGACGATCAGGAAAACTGTATTTCATCACTCAATAAGAAATAAAGACCTGTGAAACATTCAAATTTCTTGTGTACGATGAAGAGAATAATTAAGCAAGGTATTCCAAGATTCCTAAAAATCCATTCTCTTACAATTATGAAGGATCAACAGATAAAACAATCAGGATCTTATCATCAATTCATTTAGGTAACTTAATTTCTCCGCATACAGCGAGAAGAAATATGTAAGGAAAACCCAGTACCTGGATCAAAGTACAGCAGATAATGAATGAAGGGGAGACGAGAAAAAAGATCTGACCTGTTCTGCCGTCATACTACAAATGTCGCAAGAAGAGCATGCAACACAACCCAATAGATGATCATACTAAGCCGTAGAACAGGCTGCCGCATTAGTGTGCGATCACAGGATACCCTAGTAGTTTTTCAAACACAATATTTTTTTAGTTAGATAACAACATTTCAGATGCATACAAAAATGAAAGCAGGAGATGAAATTTGTTTACCATAGACCATCTATCATGTCGGTTATGGGTCTTGTAAACCGTGGGACAATTCTTGATGTCGTCATTGACTTGAAACCATGAGCTGAGAGGAAAGAAAGGTGTTATCAGCAGTACGAAGATGTGAATACAAACCAAACCATAAGAAGAAGAAGACAAGAAGACTGCGTAAATGAATGTAGCCAAGACACAAAACATGTCATTAACAAAAAACTCCACAACTGCACACCTAGCTCAAAATATGACCTCATATACAGATGTAAAAAAAATCAAATACCCTTCCTCTTCCTATACTCTATGCCCTACCACCCAGAAGAAAAAGCAAAGTAAAGAGGGAAGAAAGGACTTTTGAATTTCCTAACCAACCATTGAAGTGTTCTCTTAAAACCACAATGCTTCTCTAAGATTATATATCACCACAAAAAAAGAATCTACCACACAGCAAGAATGAGCATAAACCAAAAACAAAAAAAGGAAAAGAAAAAAGACAAACCTGACAAGGCATGAAACCCCACAAGGTTAGAGAAAGAAGTGAAACTATAGAGGTTAGTTTTTTAGGCTTGATACTACCGAGGTTATATAAGAGGAAAAAAATGTTATCCGAAATATGATGTTTGAAAACCTTCATGCACTATGTTACATCCCTAACAAAACTACATCCACAATCACAGTGAAAGAAAGCTCAATCTCAAACCATTTGACATTTTTATAAACATTGGACTCTACTCACAAAATATGACTGGGAAACAAGACAATAGAATACAGTAAACATGCTTAACAATCAGAAAGATTCAAAATAAACTAGCAATAGGAAGTCATTACCCTTATCATCATCTTCATCATCTAGTTTCCCACTATCAGGATGCACATCTATAGCAACAGCTACTTGGTCATTATTAGTTTTTCGCAAACTGCGAACTTGAGATGCAACAGTTCCAGGCACTACCCTTTTGTTGGCCTGCATTGAATATCAGAAGGAAGTAATGCCAAGAAGTATAGCCCCAGGAACATGAGGCTTAGTCACGATATAATGAGGATATTTCAGAGATAAGATAAAAAGAGCTTTCAGTGCAGATCCATAGAGCATGTAATTGTCATATTCCAATTCAAACTAGGTTTAGTATACTAATACACTCTTAGTCTAACTACAGGTCTACATCTTGGTGATCCTATTTTTCTTTTAAGTAGGAGGCATTTCTAGTGTTTTTCTTCAGAACTCAAACTTCAGCGGACATCAGCACAAAGTACATATACTTTGAACAGAATCATGGCCAGACTCTCTGTGTCCTCAGAAATTCATTTATAAGTGTACATCCTTCACATGTTTTTTTTTTTTGATAATGTGCATCCTTCACATGTTCTTCCAACTAAGGTGGATGATGGTAGTCTGTTTAGTTACTATGAAGGATCATTGGTAGAGTTCATTCATATTAGTAGTCGTCGTATTGCTCTTGTTATTTCTTGGCCTTCCATTTCTATTACTACCTGTTGTTTCTCGTACCGCAATTAGTTTTTATTTATTGCTATGGTTGTTTTTATGATTATCGATTGTTTCTTGTACTTCCGTTGCTCCTTTTTGGGACTGCTTTGAACTATTTTTCCTTAGGTCGAGGATCTATTGAAAACAATCTGCCTCTAAGGTAGCGGTAAGGTCTGTGTACACTGTAATTCTCTAGACCCCACTTGATGGGACTACTCTGGGTATGATGTTATTGT